ATTAATTGGGGATTTGTTGAAACTCTGTTCAAAATAGAGTGAGACCCCAATATGCGGACACCCCAACAAATGGACAATTTGACTCAGGGAGATTTGAATACCAAAAAAATCAGGCCCAACATTCAGACATAGGATTGATTTAGGGAAACTTTTCTGAAATTTTCCAAAAAAAATCAAAGCATGTTACTTTTAATTTTGTTATCTTTTAAATGAATCAAGTTATTTATATTCACAACAATTTCAAAAATATTTCAGAATAAATTCACTCTAATCAATAGTCAAAAGCAAGCTGATTTTGAGCTTATTCAGAGTTTTTTCCATCATCTGAGCATATTCTTGCAAGACTTATTCTTTTTCTTTGCTTTTTTAAATCTTATTTTGATAGCAAAAGATCAGATTCTATGTGGTTTTGTTTTTCACTGGTGTTTACTACAACTTGAAGTCGAGGGAAACAATGTTTATTAAACATTTTTGAGGATCTATTTCTAATTTTTGACAAAAAAGAAGAACCAATAAAATGCATTAGCATTGAAGTATAAGGGAAAATGAGACTCAACTTGAGGACATTCCAACATCAGGACACTCTTGATGCACCAATCTTGTCTGCATCTTGGGGGGGGGGGGGGAAGGTTTCTACTGTATTTCAAGTCTAAAAACTAATGAACCAACCCTCCTATACTGTACCTTCATTAAAAGCCTTAGGTTTATTTTTTTCATATTTCCCTTCCTTGTCTCTTTTCAATGTGCATGTATTACAATTTAGAGAACATTTTGTAATAAATTCACTCTAATTCATAGTCAAAAGCAAGCTGATTTTTGGGCTTTTTTTTTAAAGAGTTTTTTCCATAATCTGTGAATATTCTAGCAAGACTTATTCTTTTTCTTTGCTTCTTGGTCTCCTTTTTATACCAAAAGATCAGATTCTATGTGGTTTTATTTTGCACTGGTGTTTTTTAAAACTTGAAGTTGAGGGAAACAATTTTTATCAAACATTTTTGAGGATCTATTTCTAATTTTTGACAAAAAAGAAGGATCAATAAAATGCATTTGGATTGAAGTACAAGGGAAAATGAGACTCAACATAAGGACATTCCAACACTCTTGATGAACCAATGAAATCCGCATCTTGGGGGGGTTTCACTGTACTGTATTTCAAAAGGTCTCAAACTTTATGAACCAACCCTACCTACACTCCACCTTCACTAAAAGCCTCTGGTTTATTACTTTCTTTCCTCATTTCCCCTCCTTGTCTCCTTCCAAGTGCATGATGCATATTACCCCTCAAAACATGTTTTTCCTGCGCATGCACACACACACAAAAAAAAAAAAAAAAGAAGAAGATATACAGCATCCCGAGGACTTGCTCGCGGACATGTTGCCGCCGGTGATGGCGCCTTCGAGCGCGGGGCTGAATAAGCTGTTCGAAAATGGAGTCGGGTGCAGGGCTGCCAGATCCGCATTCGACTCTGCTCCGCCGGCCGGCATGGAAGCAACATCGGCCGCAGCATCAGCGCTGGATGCCTCGGATCCTCATCATCATCATCATCATCATCGTCGTCGGTTCGGTGACCTGGCGTCGTTGCCGCCGGACACGGCCAGCAGGTGTCGCGATGCTCGCGAGCCACTGGACCTCAGCATGCAGACAACAACGACGACGAACACTGCTAATAATAAGGAGTTGACTAGCAGGTACCAGCAGTCGTTGCATCAGAGCCATCATCATCATCTGCAGTATCGACAGCAGCAGCAACAGCAGTACCAATACCATCATCACCTGGCACCACAACTACTTCAGCAAGTGACACCTGTTGATCAGGCCGCCGGGGACTCGGGGGAAACTGCAGCAGTGCCTTTTGACTTGTGAGTTTTTTTTGTTGTTTGCGTGTGTGTGCTGTTTTTATATGTATAGTGATTCTGAATGTGGATTTTGCTATAGGTCGACTTGTATGATGTCAGGAAAAGGGATCAGTTGCATAAGTCAAGCCTGAAATACTGTAATACAGTATATAAAAAAACTAGACAGGTTGGGTTTCAATTCTTCTTGTTGATCCCTGAGAGGTTTTCTGGATTCTGACTTGTGAACTTCTAGAATCAAAAAAGTTGCCCAAGTCAAACCTAGAATAAAATGAAAATAAATTCTGAGCAGCTGAAAAAAGAAGCAGTTCCATTGAGAGGTTTTCAGGATTTAGACTTATAAACTTCTGGAATCAGACAAGTGCCTAAGTCAAACCTAAAATAAAATGAAAATAAATCCTAAGCAGCTTTAAAAGTAAGGGTTTTAATTCCTCATGTTGATCCCTGAGAGGTTTTCAGAATTCAGACATGTAAACATCTGGAACCAAACAAGTGCCTAAATCAAACCTGAAATAAATTAAAAATAAATCATAAGCAGCTTTAAAAATAATAGTTTAATTATTCTTGTTGATCCCTGAGAGGTTTTCAGGATTTAGACTTATAAACTTCTGGAATCAGACAAGTGCCTAAGTCAAACCCGAAATAAAAGGAAAATAAATCCTTATCAGCTTAAAAAATAAGGTTTTTATTTCTTCATGTTGATTCATGAGAGGTTTTCAGGATTCAGTCTTATAACTACTGGAATCAAAAATGTGCGTAAATCAAATCTGAAATTAAATAAAAATAAATCATAAGCAGCTTAAGAAATAATAGTTTTAATTATTCATGTTGATCCCTAAGAGGTTTTCAGAATTCAGACATGTAAACTTCTGGAATCAGACAAGTGCCTAAGTCAAACCTGATGTAGAATAAAAATAAATCCTTAGCAGTTTAAAAAACAAGGAGTGTTCCAATTCTTCTTGTTGATCCCTTAGAGGTTTTCAGCATTCAGACATGTAAACTTCTGGAACCAAACAAGTGTCCAAATCAAACCTGAAATAAAATAAAAATAGATCATAAGTAGCTTTTAAAAAATAGTTGTAATTATTCATGTTGATCCCTGAGAGGTTTTCAGAATTCAGACATGTAAACATCTGGAACCAAACAAGTGCCTAAATCAAACCTGAAATAAAATTAAAAAAAATCCTAAGCAGCTTATCAAAGAAGGGTTTCAATTCTTCATGTTGATCCCTAAGAGGTTTTCAGAATTCAGACATGTAAACTTCTGGAATCAGACAAGTGCCTAAGTCAAACCTGATGTAGAATTTTTTAAATCCTTAGCAGTTTAAAAAAAACAAGGAGTGCTTCAATTCTTTGTGTTGATCTCTGAGATGGTTTTCAATATACTGTACATGCTTATAAACTTCTGAAACCAAATAGTTGCCTGAGTCAAACTTGAAGCAGAATTTCTAAAACCCTGAGCAGTAAAAAAAAAGGGTTTCAATTCTTCTTGTTGATCCCTGAAAGGTTTTAAATATATATGCTTATAAACTCCTGGAACCAAATAGTTGCCTGAGTCCAACCTAAAATAAAATAAAATAAATCCTAAGCGACTTTAGAAATGAAAGTTTCTATTCTTGTTGATTCCTAAGTGGTTTTCAGGATCCAGACTTATAAACTTCTGGAACTCAAGGTATTATCAGACATGTAAACTTCTGGAACCAAACAAGTGTCCAAATCAAACCTGAAATAAAATAAAAATAGATCATAAGTAGCTTTTAAAAAATAGTTGTAATTATTCATGTTGATCCCTGAGAGGTTTTCAGCATTCAGACATGTAAACTTCTGGAATCAAAAAATTTGCCCAAGTCAAACCTAGAATATAATGAAAATAAATCCTAAGCAGCTTAAAGGAAGAGTTTCAATTCTTCATGTTGATCCCTGAGATGGTTTTCAGGATTTATACTTATAAACTTCTGGAATCAGACAAGTGCCTAAGTCAAACCTGATGTAGAATTTTTAAAATCCTGAGCAGTTAAAAAAACAAGGAGTGTTTCAATTCTTCTTGTTGATCCCTGAGATGGTTTTGAATATACTGTACATGCTTATAAACTTCTGGAACCAAATAGTTACCTGAGTCCAACCTAAAATAAAATAAAATAAATCCTAAGCGACTTTAGAAATGAAAGTTTCTATTCTTGTTGATTCCTAAGTGGTTTTCAGGATCCAGACTTATAAACTTCTGGAACTCAAGGTATTTCACTGTCTCTCATTGTATTTCAACAAGTTTGCCAGCAATTTCATTCAACCTAGCTGCTGGGATATGCAGTTATTTTGAAAGACCTTTTTATTTGTTGGAAAATTCCTAATTGCTCCTGATGTATGATGAAGTATCCATGTTGAGCAAGGTTTCTAATGCTTCCTCTCAAAAATTTAGCAACACTTTTTCAATTTTTTAATGTAAAAATTGACCACATGATGAAGGGGTTAGATAAAAAAAATCCTGATGTATGATGAAGTATCCATGTTGAGCAAGGTTTCTAATGCTTCCTCTCAAAAATTTAGCAACACTTTTTCAATTTTTTAATGTAAAAATTGACCACATGATGAAGGGGTTAGATAAAAAAAATTTCCCAGGCAGCAGTAATTAAGTTGTGCAATTTCTCAAATAGAGTTCCAAAATTATTTGGATATAGGATTCAGTCTGAGTTCAAATTTTCTCTCTGATATTGAAAGGATTTTATTTATTCACTAATGGCAGAAAGTCAGATAAATTATTTTTTTTATTTGTGTGTGTTGTGTGTATATTTTTTTTGGTTCCAAGTTCTGATTGCCACTAACAATTTAATTGGAACTCTAGAGCTTCTTTGGTTTTGAATTATTTATGTCTCACAATCTTCAAAGCATGTTTGAACCATATCCCATCAGTGATGATGCAGATCCTCTTTTGTGAAGGTCTTAGCAGAAAGTTCCTCACCAATATATTTTTTTTACCTCAGACTACAAAAGTAACAAGTTCTGTTGGTTTTTTTGAAATGTCTCGTACATAACTTCTTCTTTCACCGTTCATACAGTGTCACTTGGTCTTCAACAAACTGACGTACGAACAACGACAGGTGGACGGGTACTCGGTCACAACGTCACCTGGGAGAACGTGGGGTTTGCACATGGAGAGTGTGAGAAGGTTGGAGTACATGTTGGGTGGCAGGAAACTCACCGACCTCTCGAAGTCCACGACACTGTTGTGGGTCAACGAGAAAAAGGTGAAACTGTCCTGGATGTCCTGGACCGGAGGAAAAACGTACTTAACACTCAAAGGTCACAACGGTGGACGTTTTCAGAGTCCTTGTGTATGGAGGGCATAGTTTTGTCACCCATTTCATATGGAAATGAATCTGACTGAAGAGAGTACCCATCCAAAAGTAAGAAACAAATTAAGGAGTACTGTATACTTTATGCACCTTGCAGCAGTGCCTGGATTTGTTGTTGTTGCAAAAATGCCATTTCCTGAAATTTGGATATTAAAATTAAATGGTTCCTTGTGTAAGTCAGAAAACCCAGTATTTTTTCATGTGGCTCTAGATATTTTATTGATACAAAATGATGTGCTTTCAAGGCTGAGATTTTTCATTGCCCATCAAAATTATTTTGGCCAAATACTCTCTTGTGGAATGTTGAAATCACAGCTGTGTAAGTTATGAATCTTACTGAAGATATAAAACTGGAATTTTGCAGTTTTTTTTGTGTGGCTCTAGATTACTTTTGTGTTTTGAATAAAAAATGATGTGTTTTCAAGGTCCAGTTTCTCCAAAATTAAGCAAAACTATTTTTGCAAAATCATCTTGTGGAATGTGGACATAAAAGTTGTACAACTTATAAATCTTACTGAAGATATAAAGCTGGGATTTTGTGTGGGTGAAATTTTTTTTACAAAGGAATCAAATTGCATTGTATCTTGTATGCCTTTTTACTGCTCACTACTGGTTGTGGTGTTGGTGACCTTGGGTCAAACTAAAACATTTTAAAATAAAGTATGCTGCCATTTTTTTTGGAATGGGAGGAAACTAATTAATATGAGTCTGTTCCATGAACAATTGTTGGGTTCAGCAGGAACCATGGGTTACTCATCAGTCATCACACACACACACACACTTTTTGTTGAATGCACTGTCCTTGATGAATTGGTCCAAACACCTTTTGCACCCAATTTCCAATCTTTACTTCCCCAAATTTGGCACAGGTGTGGATCAGCGCTTGTCAAATGAAAAACTGCTGGATGGAGTTCCTTGGGCATGTTGCAGAGCAGCTTCTTTCCAAGTTGAGCCTGTTTGTGGAGAAGTGGTGACCACTTACAGCCCCAGTGCTGTGAAATGTGAATGGAAGTATCCTGCTTCTGATTCAGCTGTCATGGCTGAACCTCAGCCTGAATCCATGCAGTCTCTGGTACCCCACAACTACTACCCCTGCGATGTCTCTGAAAGTCAACCAGATGGTGAGTGTAAACATTTGTAAAATTCATAAGCAGAACCTTGTGTCAATTTTCTTGGAAGATCT